AAAGCCATAGAACTGAAGAAAGCATTACAAATCGATGACAGACCAAAAAGCCTATCTCCACCACATGAACCCATTAGCAGACATTGATGTAGTTGACACACTTGCTAAGAAGAATACCGATTTTGCAATGCATGGACCGCCTGGTAAGGGATAGACCGGCCGATGTCTTTCCACACAATGAAGACCTTAATCAAAAGAGAATTTCCTAATGAAGGCCTTAATCAGGAGAGAATTCCAGACCATACCAACGGAAATCAAAGCTCGAACAAAGGAGAAACAGTGGACAGTGGAAACTAATCAGAAGAGAGTTCAAGACCTCAAGGTGCAACGAACTTGAGCTCGAACAAATGAGAACAAAGGGGAAACAGTGGACAGTGGCACTCTCCCGATCAGAAGAGAATTCAAGATCTCAAGGTGCAACGAACTTAAACAACAAAAGAGAAACAGTGGACAGTGGCACTCTCCGACATAGCCGACTAGCCAAGAATCAGAAACAGTGGACAGTGGCACTCTTCGATATAGCAAAGGAGAAACAGTGGACAGTGGCACTCTCCGATATAGCCCCAAGGAGAAACAGTGGACAGTGGCACTCTCCGACATAGAGGAGAAATAGTGGACAGTGGCACTCTCCGACATACCCGGCGGCGAGAATCGACCGTTGATGAGTTTAGACTACGTACCGAACACGATTGCCTATCAAAACACCTTCACAGATTGGGAGTATACACTCAACTCACATGTACACCTTCACAGATTGGGAGTATACACTCAACCCACATGGACCTTCACAGATTGGGAGTATACACTCAACCCACATGCCCCCTTCACAGATTGGGAGTATACACTCAACCCATATGCCCTTTCACAGACTGGGAGTATACACTCAACCCACATGCCCTCTGCACAGATTGGGAGTATACACTCAACCCACATGCCCTCTATATAACCTACAGGAGGAAATGGATAAGGCCCACCTGATTCGGTGTCCAGCTTAAAGCCAGAGATACTGGGAAGCAAGACGAAGACAAGGACGGAAAGCCAAAGATAACGGGGAAGCAAGAAGACTGCTAATGAACTGCTATTAATTAACCGCTATAAATGTAATCCAGCTCTAAAGACAAGGACGGAAAGCCAGAGATACTGTTAAGCAAGAAGACTGCTAATGAACTGCTATTAATTAACTGCCGCAAGAAGACAGCTAATGAATTGCTATTAATTAACTGCTACATAGAAAGCCAGAGATACTGGGAAGCAAGACGAGACAACGACGGAAAGCCAGAGATACTGGGAAGCAAGAAGAGGGACAAGTACGGAAAGCCAAAGGCAAGAAGACAGCTAATGAATTGCTATTAATTAACTGCTACAGAAGACAGCTAATGAATTGCTATTAATTAACTGCTATAAAAGTACCCCCCCCCCAGAATTGCTATTAATTAACTGCTATAAATGTACCCCCTCCATGAATTGTATGTACCCCACCCCCTCTTGGGGGAAGCTGAAGTCAAAGTTTAAGGGCTAATGATAGTTGGGGGAAGCTGAAGTCAAAGATTAAGGGCTAATGATAACTATCATAAAGCCTGCCATTTGAAATAAATAAATATATGCTTATACTGAATTTTCAAAGGGCACAAATAGCAGCAACTCTCATATTCTGCTATTTTCGAAATGAAAATATAGTTGTCCTAATTCCTTCAGATGTTTCTACTGATTTCCAAATAAGTAGTAGATAACTTCTTAAATCCTATGGATTTTAATACCTACTTATTCTTGATTTATTTCACGATTTTGGAGTGTGAATTAACAAGTAGTGAATCCATGTATAAGTTGTGGTGGAACACGTTTAGCCTTGGAATATCCAAAATATTGAGCTACTAACTTTATGGAATGGAATGAGGAAACATCCAACCCTCCCTAGTCGGTCTCAATGCACTAGAAGTGAAAAGATTGAAGAAATATCATTGATTTGGTTCATAAAGAGACCGTTCTTAGTGTCACGGTTCACTTAACATTGTAGAAAAATCATAAACGAAGGGTAGAGGTGCCTTAGAACCTACTCTCTGTCCTAAATTCATTACGGCCATAAACGAATAGATTATTAAGAAGTAAGCACCCTCCATGTCTCTACCAAATTAAAACGCACATCTGCACGCAGATTTAATAAACAAGAAAGATGAAGTGAGAGCTCAGTGATATCAATGAATCTATTTGGTTGCTGATACAACGCTCTTCGACAAATTATGTCTACCTCACAATATTCGTAACCTTTGCTTAATAAACCTTATTTGTATCTTACAGACATCTTATAGAATTTGCATACTCTACTCTTATTAAAAAACCTGCCTACAATGGATGGAGAAGCCTTTTCAAATCGGAAAATTTCTGCAAATAAAAAAATGACATTGTTTACTATATAGAGTTGATTGTACAAACACCCCTTCCCCTCCCCCCCCCCCCCCCCTCCATTTTCCAAATAAATTAAATCATTTATGTTTTTAATAAAAAAATGGAGAGTCAGACACTCGCCTCAAAAGTTTTATGGGATTTGAAACGCATTTCAGAGTGCTCGTTTGTTGTTAAATCACTAATGCCAAATCTTGAAAACTTTCCCATCGAGATAAGCATATATTCAAAATCACTATCGACGCGTTCAAAAGCCTAGTCTAATGACTCAAATCCGGGGTGAGCGATAGACTTACCTCCATGTGGTGCACCCTGGGCAACATATACTCACACGGCAAAAAAATCTATAAACCGGCAGTTGACTTCAAACTACCATGACCCCACTGTATGTCATATTCTACCATTCCCCAATACTCACCTTTTCTCTGCGTTTTGTGTTTGTCTGTCTCTTGCATCCTCGAATCACTTTCCTGTTCCCCCTCGCGAATTTTTCTCACTTTGATATTCCTCCCCTCCGTGAAGTCCGAAGTCAGCTAAAGGGCTAATAATAACTATCATAAAGCCTGCCATGTGAAATAAATAAATGACTCAAATCCGCGCTCTAAAAACTTTAAGCATTAAAAGATGGAGTTAGTTAATTTCAGTTAATTTCATTAAGCGTAGGTAATACATAGTCAAAATGCAGTATGAACCTTGTAAAGTTCTCCAAAACCGTTGTGAAAAATACAAGGACATTTTCCAGATCATATTGAGTAAAAGGTGGAAACTACAATATCATTAGCACAGTTAACATTAATTGTGACTTTAATTTTTCTAATTATTGAGCAAATATAAATAGCATAGCGCTTTTTAAAAATATTATTATTGAGTAATTAGCAAAATACAGGGAGGGAGAGAGTAGTTATTTGAAATTAATTTATAAAGACTATTATTACTACCAACAATAGCTCATTACGTCTTATGTTACGTAAGGGATATTAAATAAATGCAAGTTTATTAAAATTTTTAAATTTCCACCAAACTTGTCTATTGCGGTAGCAAAAATGTGATCGAAATGGAAATGAATGTTAACCAAGGCTACGGAAATTTCTGGAAAAAAGGTCATGCGTGCGACCGATCATACATCAAACAGGCACTATCTTTCTTGCAGTCGTGTTCATTCAAATGTGCAATATTTGGTCCCAGTTATTAAAATAAACTCTAGATCAAGTGTGTTCGGCGTTCTCAGGCACTTTGGGTCTAGTCTAATTAATCCCGGGACCAAGTTTACTCAAAGAGACTCTACGGGAGGATAGTTTCGATTTTCCTCAGTTAAACTTCTAAGAGGATTGCCAGGGCTTAGTCAGGGGTTCAATTTTGTAATACCCTTAGCAAGTTGAAGTAAATCTGTATCACGATGACGCGTTATCGAAATGCATTTCAATGCCGTTTGGCGTTAAAGATATTTACTGAGAAGTAATAACTAATTCACTGATAGTGCACCAACATTCAGCTTTAATTGATCTAATTACAGGCCAATCTTGACAAAGAATTCATGAATTTGAGTACAAATAGCTGGTGGAGAGCGGCATAATAAACTATTCGTTTGACCACACATCGTACCCTTTGAGGAAAATTTGCTATGTAAGTGTGCTGGAACACATTGATATCCCAAGTCTGACCTTCGCCACATTCAGTGAGTGTACTGGATTCTATCACAGAGACTGCTCCTAACGAAGACCTCCACTACACGTACAGACTGGCCTCTCAGTGGCAAGTTCTACCCACAAAAGCTCGACAACATGGTCGGCTAATGCCGAAAAAACACTTTTAAGTAAACTGAAACAATGGCTAAGAATTGGCCATACGTACGGAGGCATCTGGATTCGTTACCCCGACGCATTTCAAGGGAAACCGGAAAGAAAATTATTTTTAGCCCATTTCTACCTCCCTATCACTCCCAGTTCTCGGGCTCAGAAAACTCCCAACCATCCTAATCTTACCCCAATGGACTGTCATGTATGAAATGGGCGCTGTAGGGAGAGGCGTATGAGTAGCGCTAATGGTAAACAGTTAATAGGAAGAAACGGGGTTACAGGGGTCGGAGCCGTTGACGCCGATGATTAAAGCTAATGACGGCTATTTTGAGATAAACTCTTTGACAGTGGCGTAATTTCTTTGTCTATTGTAGTTCATTCAATTCTAATAAATTTATTTATTTTATTTATTTGTATAAAATGACAAGCATTTTGATAGTTATCATTAGCCTTTTAGTTGACCTCAGGCTTTACAGAGAGGAAGGAACATCAAAGTGAAAGAGAGGGGGGGGAAAGAAGAGTATTTCAAAGATGTAAAAGAAACAGACACAAAGGTAGATGAAAGGTGAGTGAGTACTGTGAAAGTGGTAGAATATGACATACAGTGGGGTGATGGTAGTCTGAAGTCAGAAGTCAACTGCCGGTTTAGAGACTTTTTTGCCGTATGAGTATACGTTACCCAGGGTGCACCACGTGGAGGTAAGTCTATCACACACCCCAATCTAATAAATTTTGGTGTTCCTAATCACTTTTTGTTTTGCTACCGAGCGTAACTGATCTTATATCTCATCTTCATTTCTAAATTTACTCAGTTGTAGCCAAGCGATATCTAGTGGACATACCGATATTAAAGACAGAAACTAGACTTCCTGCATTACAATGACGTAGTAGGGAATTTCGAGAGCCCTTCACGTCTGTAAACGCAGAAGCAAAATGAATCACGACGATTCCACGTTATGTTCACGAAGAATTTAAAAATTTGCTAAAGGTTAGACTACTTCCCTGGACGATCTCAACGAATTTTTAGTATTCTGCTAAGATTGCCTTATGTCACACGTTTTCCATTATTCAAACGTGCAATTGGCTACATAAACGCCAACTGATCGAAATTTAGTCATATTGAAATGCACCTGGAAGGAATGCGAGAATTTCACCGAAAAGTGCAGAAAAAAGGATGACGATGACAAGTCAGTTTTATTGTACTGATTAGATCAATTTGTTGAACTAGGATGAAAATTATCTGTAACTATCAATAAACTGCTTTTCTGATGTCAGGGGTGCTAAAATTTATTCGAAATCGATTGTCTAAATTGAATAGATAAAACAATAGAGCACACACTTTGAAATGATACCGATTAACTAAGAAATTCATATTTTTAATTGTTCAAGTACCATGAAATGATAAAATATCAACAGACTTCTCTGGAACTCAGAGGTCATGTTAATTAATCATTGCTACTGTTATGATAGGTTTTTTTACAAGTGTAAAGGGCGTTTTTATAAAAAAAAACATTATT